AAGCTTCTACCTTTATGCTTAGATTGTTTAGATCTTGTTCGGTTGCTTTTTGGTATTGTTCTTGTCCCAAGTGTCCCAATATTGTGCATGCTTTGTTTTGGACGCGATGGGCTGTCCTTTCAGACCGTAGGATGGGTCGAAAGGCATAAAAATGAGGTCCCTTGAGCTAGTTTGGTTCCTTGTTCTTTGTAGGAGGTCTTAATGGATTAAGACCATGTATTAAGCCCTTTTTGGATGACCAAAGTCTTAAAGTTTGAGACTTTATGGTGCTAGAGTGCTTCTGATTCTTATCTCTGAAGTTTGAGCTTAGGTGCTTAATCCATTAAGCGCTTATAAGGATTTCAAGACCTACGAGGTTACGCCCCGAGGAAGTTGATGTACACCCCACATATAGAGTCAACCACCTCGATGGTGGTCAAGGCGAGGCGAGGTATGCCCAACGTACTGAAGGGGTACGCCCTGCGTATGCCCTCTGTTTGGGCATCAAACTTTGGGTGTAACATCCATAAAAATCATGCCAAATTAAAATTTTTGAAATCATTCAAAAACCAACAATTATTACAAATTTGTTTTCAAAATAGTTCCATATCAGAGTATCCCAGAAACAAAGTCATAAAATGTAAGGAGTTGTACGATCATGCCTTTGCCTTCCCGCGATCATCCGAAGTACCTGAAACCTAAACTAAACCTGTAAGCCCGAAGCTTAGTGAGTTCCCCCAAAATACCGAGACACATCAAATATCACATATACAAATAACATAATGTAATGGGTCCATAGCTCTACAGACTGGATTACCCCTGGGCCCACAGTGTGAGTCTGGCTTGCCTTCCGTGCCCACAGCTCATATCTGGCTTGCCTCCGAGCCCACAACATAAGTCTGGTTTGCTTTCGAGCCCACATCTTATAACTGGCTTGCCCCCTTCAGTCCTACGACTGAAATATAACTGATCAGCGCTCAGTGCGAGTCTGGCATGCTCCCCTAGCCCTCAGCTCGCAACTGGAATGATCCAATACCCTCAAGCCCTCAGTACGAGTCTGGCATACCACTCGGTCATCAGCTTGTATCTGGTATGCTAATGAGTCCTCAATATGATTCTGGTATGCTCTCCCGACCCTCAGCTCATATCTGGCATACTCCAGGGTTTGTTGGTCACCGTACTAAGCAGTGCAACCTCAACCCTACCGACACAACATGTCTACATATACAACTAATTGCACATAAAGATAATCAAACAGTAACACAGGTAGTCCTAAAGATCTACCAAACTGGCATATCAAACTAGCATGTATAACTATCTCATACTCAACATATCATTAACTACTGGGATATCAAATCCAATAGGCCGACATTGGTGCCTTCGACCCCTTAGTATAGTGAGGATAACTCACCTCACACTGCTGAAGTCCCGCGGATAAAACTCCAGCTGCTGGTTGACAGATTCCCGAGCTGTCAACATCAAAACAACACCCAATTAATAATTGGGTTCTAATACATAACCATAAGTCCATGCTTGGGCTAAAAGACTACTTTACCCCAACCTAGTTTGATTCAAGCCCAAGGCCCAAATCACACTCCAAAGGCCCAAAAGTCAACCAATGGACCAAAGCCCAACATATGGCCCAATTTTCCAAATTGGGCCCAAATCCTTCACATGGGCCTTACCTTAAGGCCCCAACTATCTATTCTAGTCCCAATCCTTGGCATACGGGTGGTCCAATATCTCAAAATCATCAAGGCCCAATTGTCTATGGCCCAATTTTCCAAATTGGGCTCAAGTCCCTCACATAGGCCTTACCTCAAAGCCCATCCAAATATTTTATTCCATTTACTTGTTCTTGGTTAGCCCATCAATAACCCAATCACCAAAGCCCAATAGAAAGGCCCAACTCAGGGCCCAAGTGAAATTAGGGTTTTCACATGAAATGACGATTAGGGTTAAGTTTTCCTACTTAACCCATTAAGGACTTAATCCATTAAGTCCAATATTGCCTTAGGTTAATTGCAAATGATTATTAATTAACATTTTCAGTCTAATAAATAATTCCAGTGTGGGTCCCGATAAATCCCCAAAATTAGGGTTTCATGACATTAGGGTTTTCCAAACCCTAATTAGGATTTCTAACCCAAATACTAGCCCATTAGTCAAATGGTTAGGCTTTTAGGTCCATTAGGGCTTCATTAGGCCCATTAGGGTTAAACAAATCGGGCACCACCCACTACTACCTCGGGTAGTGGCGGTCAATGACGGCTCACGACGGCGGCCACCACCTCACGGTGGTGGTTATGGTTCTAGTCCCATACTTACCAAACATCCCCTGTCTTCTAAAAATCTTTACAAAATAAATCCTGGAACTTACGCCTTTAACCCCCAACTTCTAAAATATGTCAGTTAACTCCTCGACACCAACACCTTGCTATATAACTATTGATTTTAGGGCTACTATTCATTCATTAATTTGTTTATTTATTTATTTAATAAACGGGGTGTTACATTGGGCTTCGGGTATTGAGCCATATATTGGGCATTGATACTTGGGCCCTATTAGACTATCTGGATAAGTGTGTTTTGGGTCAATTAGGGGATCAGACCTTTGGATGAGGTCCAATAAGGGGTTTCAGGCCAATTTGGAAAATTGGGCCAATCATTGGCCTTGAAGTAAGTTGGGCCTTATGGATCAAAGATTTGGACTAGGGCCTTGGCCAGTTAGGGAAGGGGTAAAGTGGACATTTACCCTAGGTATGGATCCTTAATCAAGAATGATATCCCAATTGTTAATTGGGTGTTTGTTTATTGTTATATTTCAGGATTTTTTGTGAGTCAGCAGTCGGAGGTTTCAGTGTCGTTCGACATTGTAAGGTGAGTCTTCCTCACTATACTTTCGGGTCGAAGGCACCAAGGCTGGCCCATTGGTTTGATAACATGACATTGTGATATGTTGAGTATGATATATATATGCATGCTAGTCCTAATATGCTAGTCTGGTAGATATGTAGGACTACCTGTGAAATTGCATGTTTATATGTATATGATATTATCTGTTATATGTCGACATATTGTGTGGGTGGGTTGAGGTAGTACTGCTTTGTGCTATAGCCAACAAACTTTAGAGTATGCAAAATATGAGCTGAGGGCCAGGGAGGGCATGCCATACTTATACTGAGGAGTCATGAGCATTCCAGATATGAGTTGAGGGTCGGGCAGCGCATGCCAGACTCGTACTGAAGGCTTAGTGGTATTCAGTCTGTTGACTGATGAGGCCGGGGAGCAAGCCAGACATAAGCTGTGGGCCCGTGGGGCAACCCAGACTTATGTTGTAGGCTCAGGGGTAATCCAATCTGTAAAGCTATGGACCCATTACATACTGTTATTATATTTGTGTTATTTGTTATGTATCGGTATTTTGGGGGAACTCACTAAGCTTTGGGCTTACAGTTTTGGATTATGTTTCAGATAGCTCAGAGGATCACAGGAAGGCAAAGGCATGATCATGCACCTCCTCATGTCCTATTTTACGATTTTGGGATTTCTCTGATGTGGAACTTATTTTGAAAACAATTTGTAATCAATGATGGTTTTGTGGTTGTTTAAAAAGTTTAAAAATTTTCAAGAATTTTATGAGTGTTACAATCATAAAGAATAGAACATCAGATAAGCCAATTGCAAACTCATTCATGAAATGGTATCATGAGTAAACGGGGTTGTAGGTAGTAATTGATCCCATGATTATTTATAATATGAGCTTAAAGGAGTGAAGGCCAATATATTAAATACATGATGAAGTAATGAACCATGAAAGAATATAGATGTGAAAACCATTTAAACTACAAAAGAAATAACAAGCAAAGAGAAAAGAGGTTAAACAATTTCTAAGAACTAATAGTGTTGGCACTAGTATGGTGTACGAAATACTTGTTAGTGTTGGCACTAGTATGGTGTACGAAATACTACGTGAAGATCATGTCTAGATTAGATATGACCACGAGAGTGCCTTGTTGGTGTTGGCACTACTATGGTGTACAAAATACTTCTTATCAACTCGGATAGACTCTCTAGCAAGAGATATAATGTGCTAGGAATGTTTGATAGGATTTGGAAAAGTTGATAATTTGTGGTACAACCTTGATGTGTAGATGAACAAGTCATATGAATACAAGTAAGAAACTCTGTTATAAGATAGTTTGGTACAACCTTGTTACAGATATGAGCAACTCGTGCAACATATGTGACATTAAACTTATGGTATGAGCTTAGGAATGTTTTTAGTTCATAGGAGATAAAACAAATTTGGGATATGCTTATGTGATCGATACAACCTCGCTCAATTGCATGGAAAACTGTACGATAATTGAACATGGGGAAAGTACTTGATTTTGGTATGGCCTTGCGAGGAATGTATACATGGTATTTTGAATGAAAATTTCGCCTATTAATGTGAGAATGAAGTACATAGAAAGGGTGACTATAGAAAAATGATCATGGTATAGCTTGCAGATGATGCAAATAGATCGATTGATACTCTGACCGGGGATTATGATGTTTGAACGCCCACGAAAATTGGGTGTGGAAATCTTGACAATCATTTTGATTTCACGAAGGTTTATACTAATGTAGTACAAGCTCAACAATAGGAGTACAAAAATTGGCCTAAATTTGATATGTATGTATGAATGTTTTTTCACACAAACACACAATCTTACATGTAAAGCACATCACATGATATGTTTTTCGCAACTGAGACGTATACGTAAGGATTGCATTGAAACGCTGAAAAAAATGTTTATATTTGCAAAACATGTTACAATTACGTTTAACCAACCATTTCTTTGTAGCTCAAAGATAAATTTATGGTATGTATTCCTAGTTGTGGAATGAAGAAAGAAACAAGCGCATAAAGTGACGTTAAAACAAATTAAATGTGTTTACAAAATCATTCGTGACTAACCATATCTAAGAGAGCCTATTACTATTAATTCATGCCCAAGCATAACTATGTCAATCTATATGGGTTTAAACTCAATGCCTTCAACAATAAGCCCTACAAGTGAACTTTTATAAAAAACAGTCAACTGAAGGTTCTCCGAAATCCATCCGCGACTATCGGTTTGAAATTCCCATACTTGTACTTCCATCCAGCCATCGTTTCTCAGTCGTGGAAGGCCTTCCATTTTGGGTCTATTCAACGGGTTGTGGGTGTTTTGATAATTCATTGGTCTAAGAATTGGGGTTTGAGGACCAACTAAAAAGGTATACCTTGAATGATGTGGATATCCATATCGACGACTAATATGCACTTTCACAGAATGCCAAGGAGCAGAACGTTTTTCTTGTACTTTGTAAACAAGGAAACTTCCATATGTTGTTTGAGGTGACAGAATATTCGATATGCAGATTATCCGAAAGCCATGACGTTCGCCAAAAGCCACTTTTCCAAATCTGCATCAAGACATTCCATTTAATGTAAATGCAAAAAAAGGAGACGATTTGAAAAGTTGCTGAATTTTTCTTAAAATAGAGAAATTAAAACAATATACGTGTGCATTACCCAAAAATCTTACGACGCATATGCATAAACAAAATATAGAGAAGAAAACCTTGATTCGGGTAAAGACTGCCATCTTCACTCTGCTTTTTGCAAAGCCTCTTTTGCTCGTAACAAATGACATTTCCTCCCATTTTTGGCAAGAAAAAACCACTGTCAATCAAAAGATGAGTAAGCACTTGTTTAGTTATTTGGTAGAACCATGTTCATACGCTGCACAACAACCACATTGACATTAATCATTCAAAAATAAAATACCTCTTTACCATCCTTTATTGGGAATCCTTTCACAAGAATATAGTAGAGTTCCTTGTTTGTTTCCCATTGCTGACTTCCTTTTGACCACTTGATTATGTCTTCATAATCACTTGGCAATTTACGTGTCCAGTATGTGTCTGAATCGGATACTATTGGTATATCCACCTCCTCATCCTCTAACCATTGATGCTCCACCTATGAAACTTGTACATTAAATTTTGATCGATTCTGGAAGAATACTCATTCTCCAAATATGTACTTTAGAAAAAGATTCCTTATAAAGCAGGTGACCAATGGGATTCTCATACGATGAAATGTTTGAGACTCTAAAAACAACATAAGCCAAATGATATAAATGAATAAACGGGTATTTATCAACATACACTCTCCAGGGGTTGAAACTCAATGCCTTCTACTGCAATTGCGCTTGGGCATTCAAAAGTAATTTCAAGATCAACATTTCTTGTATCACTTTAACTGATTCAATTCTGCCATCAACCACCCATCCTCTCTCTTATCTGAAAAGTATGAAGTCGAAGATTGTGTCTGCCCAGCCAATTTGTAAGTGAAGCCCAAGTTGTCCTTAGTTGAGTCGTCGAGACTGAATACAAGGTTTATAGTATAGGTGATATGTGGTGACAAAAATTGTGTCTTGACATGTGTTCTGAATTCCAAACAAAACGGTGCATAGTATTCCACTGCAAATCTGCACGTAGATGAAGCAAAGGGTATAGTACATTACTATATACTCATGAAATAGTCTAAAAAAACTAGAAAAAGAGGAAGACAAGTAACCTTGATTTCTTTCGACAATAATCCTCGGGGGATGTTGGGTCAATAGGAATCAAACTTCCTATTGGCGATATCATTTCACAATTTTCTCCATTCTTGTTTAACCAAAACCACTGACCATTAAGAGTGTTACCACTGACCATTAAGGCATATATTTAGGCGTTGCCTCCAAGTGAGAGTAGTGATACTTAAGTGGCGATCGAGGCTTCCATGAGATGCATGCTCATACACAAGGATCTTCTCACCATCTTCATCACAAAATCCCACCAGAGAGATGAGATTTTGATGTGTGTAACAAGAAAGGATTAGGATCTCTTTCAAGAAATGGTATCATGAGTAAACGGGGTTGTAGGTAGTAATTGATCCCATGATTATTTATAATATGAGCTTAAAGGAGTGAAGGCCAATATATTAAATACATGATGAAGTAATGAACCATGAAAGAATATAGATGTGAAAACCATTTAAACTACAAAAGAAATAACAAGCAAAGAGAAAAGAGGTTAAACAATTTCTAAGAACTAATAGTGTTGGCACTAGTATGGTGTACGAAATACTTGTTAGTGTTGGCACTAGTATGGTGTACGAAATACTACGTGAAGATCATGTCTAGATTAGATATGACCACGAGAGTGCCTTGTTGGTGTTGGCACTACTATGGTGTACAAAATACTTCTTATCAACTCGGATAGACTCTCTAGCAAGAGATATAATGTGCTAGGAATGTTTGATAGGATTTGGAAAAGTTGATAATTTGTGGTACAACCTTGATGTGTAGATGAACAAGTCATATGAATACAAGTAAGAAACTCTGTTATAAGATAGTTTGGTACAACCTTGTTACAGATATGAGCAACTCGTGCAACATATGTGACATTAAACTTATGGTATGAGCTTAGGAATGTTTTTAGTTCATAGGAGATAAAACAAATTTGGGATATGCTTATGTGATCGATACAACCTCGCTCAATTGCATGGAAAACTGTACGATAATTGAACATGGGGAAAGTACTTGATTTTGGTATGGCCTTGCGAGGAATGTATACATGGTATTTTGAATGAAAATTTCGCCTATTAATGTGAGAATGAAGTACATAGAAAGGGTGACTATAGAAAAATGATCATGGTATAGCTTGCAGATGATGCAAATAGATCGATTGATACTCTGACCGGGGATTATGATGTTTGAACGCCCACGAAAATTGGGTGTGGAAATCTTGACAATCATTTTGATTTCACGAAGGTTTATACTAATGTAGTACAAGCTCAACAATAGGAGTACAAAAATTGGCCTAAATTTGATATGTATGTATGAATGTTTTTTCACACAAACACACAATCTTACATGTAAAGCACATCACATGATATGTTTTTCGCAACTGAGACGTATACGTAAGGATTGCATTGAAACGCTGAAAAAAATGTTTATATTTGCAAAACATGTTACAATTACGTTTAACCAACCATTTCTTTGTAGCTCAAAGATAAATTTATGGTATGTATTCCTAGTTGTGGAATGAAGAAAGAAACAAGCGCATAAAGTGACGTTAAAACAAATTAAATGTGTTTACAAAATCATTCGTGACTAACCATATCTAAGAGAGCCTATTACTATTAATTCATGCCCAAGCATAACTATGTCAATCTATATGGGTTTAAACTCAATGCCTTCAACAATAAGCCCTACAAGTGAACTTTTATAAAAAACAGTCAACTGAAGGTTCTCCGAAATCCATCCGCGACTATCGGTTTGAAATTCCCATACTTGTACTTCCATCCAGCCATCGTTTCTCAGTCGTGGAAGGCCTTCCATTTTGGGTCTATTCAACGGGTTGTGGGTGTTTTGATAATTCATTGGTCTAAGAATTGGGGTTTGAGGACCAACTAAAAAGGTATACCTTGAATGATGTGGATATCCATATCGACGACTAATATGCACTTTCACAGAATGCCAAGGAGCAGAACGTTTTTCTTGTACTTTGTAAACAAGGAAACTTCCATATGTTGTTTGAGGTGACAGAATATTCGATATGCAGATTATCCGAAAGCCATGACGTTCGCCAAAAGCCACTTTTCCAAATCTGCATCAAGACATTCCATTTAATGTAAATGCAAAAAAAGGAGACGATTTGAAAAGTTGCTGAATTTTTCTTAAAATAGAGAAATTAAAACAATATACGTGTGCATTACCCAAAAATCTTACGACGCATATGCATAAACAAAATATAGAGAAGAAAACCTTGATTCGGGTAAAGACTGCCATCTTCACTCTGCTTTTTGCAAAGCCTCTTTTGCTCGTAACAAATGACATTTCCTCCCATTTTTGGCAAGAAAAAACCACTGTCAATCAAAAGATGAGTAAGCACTTGTTTAGTTATTTGGTAGAACCATGTTCATACGCTGCACAACAACCACATTGACATTAATCATTCAAAAATAAAATACCTCTTTACCATCCTTTATTGGGAATCCTTTCACAAGAATATAGTAGAGTTCCTTGTTTGTTTCCCATTGCTGACTTCCTTTTGACCACTTAATTATGTCTTCATAATCACTTGGCAATTTACGTGTCCAGTATGTGTCTGAATCGGATACAGTTGGTATATCCACCTCCTCATCCTCTAACCATTGATGCTCCACCTATGAAACTTGTACATTAAATTTTGATCGATTCTGGAAGAATACTCATTCTCCAAATATGTACTTTAGAAAAAGATTCCTTATAAAGCAGGTGACCAATGGGATTCTCATACGATGAAATGTTTGAGACTCTAAAAACAACATAAGCCAAATGATATAAATGAATAAACGGGTATTTATCAACATACACTCTCCAGGGGTTGAAACTCAATGCCTTCTACTGCAATTGCGCTTGGGCATTCAAAAGTAATTTCAAGATCAACATTTCTTGTATCACTTTAACTGATTCAATTCTGCCATCAACCACCCATCCTCTCTCTTATCTGAAAAGTATGAAGTCGAAGATTGTGTCTGCCCAGCCAATTTGTAAGTGAAGCCCAAGTTGTCCTTAGTTGAGTCGTCGAGACTGAATACAAGGTTTATAGTATAGGTGATATGTGGTGACAAAAATTGTGTCTTGACATGTGTTCTGAATTCCAAACAAAACGGTGCATAGTATTCCACTGCAAATCTGCACGTAGATGAAGCAAAGGGTATAGTACATTACTATATACTCATGAAATAGTCTAAAAAAACTAGAAAAAGAGGAAGACAAGTAACCTTGATTTCTTTCGACAATAATCCTCGGGGGATGTTGGGTCAATAGGAATCAAACTTCCTATTGGCGATATCATTTCACAATTTTCTCCATTCTTGTTTAACCAAAACCACTGACCATTAAGAGTGTTACCACTGACCATTAAGGCATATATTTAGGCGTTGCCTCCAAGTGAGAGTAGTGATACTTAAGTGGCGATCGAGGCTTCCATGAGATGCATGCTCATACACAAGGATCTTCTCACCATCTTCATCACAAAATCCCACCAGAGAGATGAGATTTTGATGTGTGTAACAAGAAAGGATTAGGATCTCTTTCAAGAACTCAGAGTCTCCTTGCCCATAGTTACGATCTAGACGCTTAAAAGCAACCGTGCTTTGCCCTGTAGAGTGAGAGAGGACTCCTTTATACACCTTCCAAAATCCACCTTTTCCGATAACATTGTTGTTATCAAAGTTGCCGGTAGCCGACTTTATTGCCTCTAGTCGGATTTTGAGATATTGAAACTCTTCCAAGAAGGCCTCCATTATTTGTTGGTCAGATGGTAATTGATAATTGGAAAATTCAATGAAGTGTTAGCTATAAATAACACCGGAATAGGACAGTCATGAAATCTGACAGTTTCCTACTCAAACCTTTTTCTTCCTTTCTTCATTTATAAATAATTTGGAAATTAACTTTTCATTTTACCTAATCTATTTAACTAATAGTTTGTAATTCCACTTGTTAGTTATTATTATTATTTTTTATTTTTATTTTGTACCTTATCTCATCAATGTATTAACTTAATTTATTAGATATATATAACAAAGGATATGTATTGTATATCTTGAACAATTTAGATCATTAAAAAGTTGTCGCCTGTACTCCAACAATCATACCACTATTAAATATAATTGATAGTTACATAACTAATTATTTTGTGGTCATATCTAATAAGCCAATTATTTATAAAAATCATCAGGTCGAAAAAATGTGTTAATTAGTAAACCCAAACCCAAGCAACCCTTGAAAGAAAAGCATAAGATGAGTTAGCCCTTGAAAGAAAAGCATATGATGAGTTTTGCCGGCCTTCTCATGCTGAGTTGGATACATCAATCCAGAAGAATTATTCAAAAGACCATCTTTTCTATTTGACATTTAGCATTTTTGGAGTTAACATGTTGAAGAGTCAACGCTAACCTACCTACTATGCTAGGACTCATTCTTTGTGTAAATACATACATGATGAATAGTCTTCCAAAATATCTTTAAGCTATTCAGTTTCATAACTAATTTTTAGAGCCAGGCACCTGTAAGTTGTTTTATTTTTTAAGTGATGAACACCAAATGTTGCAACTGATCTTAAACTTTGAGTAAACTAGAAATATGAACATGTGTCACAAAAATCAAAACATCTTGCTAGTCATAATGCCAATATAAACTTTCAAACTCTTATTATTTTCCTCTATATTTCCCAGGGTTCATTTTTTGGACGCCAAATTAAAGTAGAATTACAGTTAAATGTAGATACAGGGAGAACAGTAGTTTAATTTAGATGCATACCACAATTTCACTGTTAAATGTCGATACATGGAGAACAATTGTATAGTTCAAATATCCATCTTACCAAGGGCCAAGGGGAGAACCTTAAGTACATGATTTACATCAGGAGGGGTAATGGCATAGACACATGCATATTGTTAGCAATATTGGACTGCATCCTTCTGCAATTCTGCTCAACGTTGTCAAAATTGACCTCTATCCCGAGGTTTAATCTTGTGAAACTGTTTTTAGGATATTGTTGATGTCACACTATGGCAGAAATGTAGAAAACAAAAATAGGGTTTAACCGGAACA